AAAGTTCTTACGGTCCGAAGCCAGGATTTGAACGGAGACGAGACTGGAAGTGGTTGGACCGGGTGAGAGGGTTCTGAGCGTGGGCAGGCGGGCAGGTGTGGAGAATGGAGACCGGAGGATCCTTGAGTGGCGAGACGTGAGACAACTCCAGGCAAGGTAGGTGGTGCAGAACAGGATACTTAGCCTGGCAAGCCATACTAAATAAATGTATTATTTAGTCTGGCCACGCTCCATTGACGGCTCTCGGTTGTGGGGCGGGTTCTACCGTTGTCTTTCAAATTATCTCCGCATTCCACTGGACAAAGAATGTGACATACTCTTGTTTCACTCTGTTGCACCATCCCACCCACCAGGCATATAGAGTGCCCTGAATGGCCCACAAAGCGGATAAAGCTCTGTGATCTGTTCACTAAGCAGATAGAGCACTATGATTGGCCCACCATTATGGGTCAATCACAGCTCTTTATGTGTTTGAAACCCCTCTAGAGAGCAGTGATTGGCTAGCCAGAGTCCTGGTAGGAGCTGCGGAGGTTCCAATGGAGCATGCCTAGACCAATCTTTGCGAAGCAAGAATTTGGTCTAGTTCACTAGGCTACATGATACTAGGACAGGATACAAAAATCATTAGTTCAGTATTGCAGAGACCAAGACAGATTCAAGGCTAGATGCTACCCATGTGAGAGTATCAACCGGCACTGGGGTTGAGTCGCGCCACTCCTTAAATCCTCTGCACCTCCAATTAGTGGAACTCCCAACAGCTGTGAAGACTGCCGCACCCACCTGCAAACACAGAGCTGAACACTTCACCAGTAGATGGAGGCAAACCGTGACAGCCCCCCCCCCCCCCGCCCCCCCCCACAAGGGACGCCACCTGGCGGCCCAGCAGAGGAGGAGGAGGCGGAGGAGGCCTCGAAGTCCTCAATCAGGGAGATTTCCTCAATCCAGGATCCAGGAAGCCACTGCCGGTGCTCGGGACCGTACCCCTCCCAGTCCACCAGGAACTGCCGGCCGCGACCACGCGGTCGAACATCCAGGATGCGATGCACTCGGTAGCCGATACCCCCGTTGGCAAGGCGGATGGGTGGAGGCGGAGCGTCAGGAGGGCACAGAGGGCTGGACGCCACCGGCTTGAGGAGGGAGACATGGAAGACTGAATGTGCCTTCATGGATGGAGGCAGTGCCAACCGGACAGAGACCGGACCCAGAACTTCAGCCACAGGAAAAGGTCCAAGGAAACGAGGAGAGAATTTCCTGTTGGACCCACGGACCTTGATGTCCCGGGAGGAGAGCCAGACCATCTGACCTGGGATGTAGGTAGGCGCCGGCCGTCTGTGACGGTCAGCAATCCGGCGGTTGTGCTCAGCAGTACGTTGGAGTGCTGCATGAGTCTGAGTCCATGTGCGGCGGGCCTGGCGCAAAAACTGAGGGACTGAGGTGGAGGAAGCAGAGTCGGAGGGAAACAGAGGAGGTTGGTATCCAAGTGAGACTTCAAATGGGGACTGACCTGTGGATGACAAGGTGTGGGAATTGTGTGCATATTCCACCCATGGCAGCTGCAAACTCCATCCGGCAGGATTGGAAGAACAGATACAGCGCAGCATAGCCTCCAGTTCCTGATTCATGCATTCCACCTGCCCGTTAGTCTGTGGGTGAAAGCCGGAAGTGAGACAAACCTTGGCTTCAGGTGATGGGCGAAGTCACACCACACACGAGAGATGAACTGGGGGCCACGGTCAGACAGGATCTCGCTGGGCAATCCATGAAGACGGAAGAGATGTTTAATGAGGAGGTTGGCAGTCTCGGTGGATGACGGAAGGGATTTCAGAGGAACCAGATGACATGCTTTCGAAAAACGGTTGACAATAGTGAGAATGACAGTGAACCCCTTAGACATGGGAAGACCAGTTACAAAGTCCAGAGCAATATGGGACCATGGGCGATGGGGAACATGCAGAGGCTGGAGGAAACCCTGAGGAGGTTGGTTACTGGATTTGCATCTGGCACATACCTGACAGGCGCTGATATATTCTTTAACATCACGGTACATGGAGGGCCACCAGAATGTCCTTCTGATGAGAGCAATTGTCCTGCCAAGGCCTGGGTGAATAGAAAATCTGGCCGTGTGTGCCCAGCGTATGAGAGCTCCACGGGTGCCGGTAGGGACATAGATCTTATTTGGGGGCCCGGTACCTGGATCGGGATCTGCTGCTGAGCTTCCAGGACCTTGATGGTAATATCCCAATCAATGGAGCCGACTATGCAGGAAGCAGGTAAGTGGTGGTAGGCTCCACCTCTCTGTCGGACGCATACTGTCGAGAGAGGGCGTCAGGTTTGACGTTCTTTGAGCCGGGTCTGTAAGATATGACAAAGTTAAATCGAGAGAAGAATAATGACCAACGAGATTGGCGGGGATTCAGTCTCTTAGCCTCTTAAGTACGACAAGTTTTTATGGTCAGTCCAGATGGTTATTGGATGCTCAGCTCCCTCCAACCAGTGGCGCCATTCCTCCAAAGCCAACTTTACTGCCAACAGTTCACGATCACCCACATCGTAATTCTGCTCAGCTGGGGAAAGGCGACAAGAGTAGAAGGCGCAGGGATGGAGACACTGATCAGAGGAGGAGATTTGGGACAGGACTGCCCCAACTCCGGTGTCAGAGGCGTCAACTTCCAAGGTGAATGGAGCTGATGGATCCGGGCGAGTAAGTATGGGTGCATGAGCAAAACTCTCCTTGAGAGTGAGGAATGCTTGGTCAGCTTCCTTGGTCCATAAAAACGGTCTCTTGATGGAGGTGAGCTGGGTTAATGGTGCTGCAATCCGGCTGTAATCTCTAATAAAACTGCGGTAGAAATTACCAAAACCTAAGAATCTCTGGAGCTGCTTATGTGTGGTAGGAGTGGGCCAGGACAGGACGGCAGCGATCTTGTCAGGATCAGTTCTCAACTTCCCATTCTCCAAAACAAAGCCGAGGAATTTAAGAGGGAACGTGAAACTCACATTTTTTGGCTTTAACATAAAGCTGGTTATCGAGGAGGCATTGGAGCACAGCACGGACATGTTGACGGTGTTCAGGTAGGTTTCTTGAAAATATGAGGATGTCATCCAGGTAGACTGTTATGAATTTGTTAAAGTAATCACCCAGCACGGAGTTGACCAGGGATTGAAACACAGCGGGAGCGTTGGTGAGTCCGAACGGCATCACAAGATACTCGAAGTGTCCGAGAGGAGTCTTGAATGCCGTCTTCCATTCGTCTCCTTCATGAATTCTGACCAGGTGGTAGGCGTTGCTCAGATCTAATTTAGTGAAAATGGAAGCATCATTAACGGGTTCGAATGTGGATGATAGCAGAGGCAGAGGATACTTATTCTTGATGGTGATAAGATTTAAGCCACGGTAGTCAATGCAGGGGCGGAGCAAACCATCTTTTTTTGAAACGAAGAAAAACCCAGCGCCCAGGGGAGAAGTGGATGGTCGTATGATGCCAGAGGCTAGGGATTCTGAAATGTAATCAGACATACAGGCCTGTTCAGGTTTAGAAAGACTGTCCAGCTTACTGGTAGGTAGAATATCATCCGGGACGAGGTCAATTCCACAGTCATATGGGCGATGAGGAGGTAGAGAGGACGCTCGGTCTTTACTGAACACTTGTTGAATGTTGTGATATTCAGCAGGGACTCCAGTAAGACCGGGTGGTTCCTGAGGAGGGTTATTGGTGGTCTGGGCAGGAAGCGGCGCTGAAAGGAGACAATGAGACAGACAGTAGGGGCTCCAGACAGACACCAACCCGGTCTTCCAGTCAATTTGTGGGTTGTGTAAAACTAACCACTCATGGCCCAACACAACTGGCGACTGGGGAGAAGGAAAAATGTAGAAACTCAAAGTCTCATGATGGTTACCAGAGATTTGTAGGTTAATGGGAACAGTGCAATGCGTTATGGTTGTGAGTAAACAGCCATCCAACGAGGAAGCGCGGATGGGGGTAGACAGAGGAATAGTAGGAATGTTGAGCTGTTGTACTATGGTTTGATCCAGGACACTCCTCTCGCACCCAGAGTCCACTAGCACCTGAGTAGAAACAGTCTGTTGGTTGAAGGAGACAGCACAAGTGAAAGTGCACCGGGAATTCAGGGTGCCAGGAATTCCACCCATCAGTAATCCCGGTCCTACTGATGGGCCCTGGTTTTTGGCCGAACCGGACAATTTTGCAGCAAGTGACCCGGCTGACCACAGTAAAGGCAGAGGCCTAGGGAACGACGTCTAGCTTTCTCCTCAGAGGTTAAATGCGCTCGTCCTATCTGCATAGGTTCCTCAAGGTGAGCCGGAGGGGAGTGTTGGTGGGTGTGGTGAGGTCATTGCTGTGGAGCATCAACAGGGAATGGTCTGAAGGTATGTGTCTTGTATCTCTCCTTAAGACGTTTCTCAATGTTAGCGGCCAGCTGGACCAGGGGCTCAAGGTTCTCCGGTTCTCGGCAAAACGCTAATTGATCCTTGATTTTTTTCATTAAGTGCCTGAGAAAAAGCGGCCCTAAGGGAAGGCTCATCTAGTGTAGAAGTGGAAGCAACAGTACGAAATTCGATGGCGAATTCTAAAACCGATTGCTGACCCTGCTGGAGACTCCATATTTGTTTAGCTATTTCGGCTGGGGATTCGGACTGATCAAAGATTTGATTAAATTCGGCTAGGAATGTTGAGAATGGTCCCTGTAGAAAAGTAGATTGCCGATTTCTAGCCTCGGCCCATTGTAGGGTTCTACCACGTAACAGACCGATGATGTAAGAAATTTTAACCGCATCGTTAACAAAAGTATCAGGTGATCTATCAAAAGCCAACTGACAGAGTAACAGAAAACAGTGGCATTTACGTGGTGCGCCGGAGAATGTTTCTGGTTGAGGAGATTGCGTAACCCGGAAACTGACCGTGTTGCTGAACTGGAAGTGAAGCCGGAGATGAAGCTACGGAAGTAGCAGCAGGAGGCGGTGTAAGTCTCTCGTTTACCTATCGTATGGCAGAGTCAAGCTGGAATAAGCGCTGATTAACGAGTGACAACTGATCAAGGGCTGAACGGATGGAACCTTCATGCTGGGACAAGATACCTGCCATAGCTGCAGGGAGTGATTCTTCAGTGAGGGTGTTTGTGTGGCCGGTTGATTCTGTCATGTTGTGGGTAATGTATTTCACCCAGGACATGAAGAATCACACGAGAGAAGAGGTAAATAAAAATACAAGTGTTTTTATTTTGAATGTGAACAGAAAAAAACTAGAACTAAGGGCGCTGCTTCTATGAACAGGAACAGGATGGTACCGGAATCTATGAAGATAAAAACAGAAGGTGAGCGAAGCCAGAACCAGAGAACCAGGATAATATGAGTCCTTAACTAAAAGTTCTTATGGTCTGAAGCCAGGATTTGAACGGAGACAAGACTGGAAGTGGTTGGACCGGGTGAGATGGTTCTGAGCGTGGGCAGGCGGGCAGGTGTGGAGAATGGAGACCGGAGGATCCTTGAGTGGCGAGACGTGAGACAACTCCAGGCAAGGTAGGTGGTGCAGAACAGGATACTAGGACAGGATACAAAAATCATTAGTTCAGGATCGCAGAGACAAAGGCAGATTCAAGGCTAGATGCTACCCATGTGAGAGTATCAAACGGCACTGGGGTTGAGTGACGCCACTCCTTAAATCCTCTGCACCTCTGTTATGCCTTTTAGTTAAAAGTCAGTAGTTAGTGCACAATCTGATTAAGTTATGAAAGCAAGGTGATAAATAATTTCAAAGTTAAGAAATGTGTGATTCATGCTAAAAAAAACAGTTAAAATGTGTGGGTTTGAAATTTGCTCAGAGTGAGACATCGTTGTCACAAGCGATCTTTGTATTGTACGTGCGGAAATGGGAGCGAGTGAGCGCTCTTATCATTCACCTATCTTTGACGTTTTTTCTCCGCGAACGCTGTGAAAAGTGCTTCGGCAGTATTAAAACAGTGAATAAGTTCATGTACACGCTATAAGTGCCCTACACGCTTGTACCTTTAGGAAACGTTCGTCTTCGTAAGTATTAATGTGTCCAGAAATAACCTTTATATGTGTTTACATAGAGTGAACTGTGATGCTAATGTAATGTACGTGTTAAGCTAGGCTAATCTTTAAGTTCTTATTAAGATGTGTATTAGCTAGCGATTTATTTTCACTCTCTGTATGTTTCAGTTACAAATAATAAATAGCAAGGAGAAGCCTTGAGAGAGATAAGGCTTAAAAGATCTTCAGTAAAATCAAGAAAAGCAAGCCTTGTGTGGAGATCTCGTCTATTTTGTTCGCTGGCTGTCTAGCTTCACATGGTCACGTGTCGTGAGGGCAGCACAACCTCCAATTAGTGGAACTCCCAACAGCTGTGAAGACTGCCGCCCCACCTGCAAACACAGAGCTGAACACCTCACCAGTAGATGGAGGCAAACCGTGACAGATGTTTGTAGACTTTTGAAAAACTGCTGGCTTATCAAATCCCCCTGATAAATGCAAGGAATAAATTCCACACTTACTAATCATGATTACTTGTTTGCCTTTAGGTAGTCAAACTATAGTTCTTGTCTGATTTCTCACCTGACATCATGTTGTTCTATAGGCCTATGTAAAGTATAAAGGCAACCACACTGTCCAGTTCAGTCAGTACGTTTACATGCAGCCAATATCCAGGTTATGATCGGGTTAAGGTCAGGATTCGGGTTTCTGAGTTGATCAGAATAACTCGTTTACAAGCATAAATAGAAAGAGTTACCTCTAACGTGCATAACCCGATTTAACTGCGGACGTTGGGGTAGCGTCAGGACGTATGGACTACATCCAGACGCAATATGCGTCATTTCCGGTTCTTCTTGTTCTGGTATCCGTGAAAACAACAACATGTTTCCCAGTTCGGAAGAGATAGTTACCGCGTTTGTTTGCGCTTTAGTTTCCTCGTCACTCAAAGTGTGGTGCTGTGCCGCGACTCGCCATTTTGCCCTCAACTTGTTGTTTACTTCCGGTGTTCTGGCGCGTACAAGACGTCTCGCTACTCAAAAGACCAAGATTCTTTTTGAACAGAGCATGCGCAGAACACACTCTTTAATGGGGATATCCCGGTATGCGTTTACACGACCAAGCATTCGGGTTAGAAAAGGGTTACCCCAGGTGTAGTAACCGGGTTTTTGAAAACCCGGTTATGAGCATAGCCGGGTTTTTGGCGGTGTTTACAAGGACCTGCGGAACCGGGTTATTGTGAATATTCGGGTTTTAAAAGGGTTACTGGCTGCATGTAAACGCACTAAGTGTTTCCCTTACAGAGATGTAGCCGTGGCGGCCCGCCACGGCTGAAATCCCACCGCCATGCCTACAAGATCCCAAGTTTTATTGTTTTTTTTTCTTTCTTTAGTTTTTTTTTTTCCGCGCCGTTTCCCGAAGAAGCAGCGGGAACTACTGTGTTGTTGCTTGTGATCACAGCCAGCAGGCAGCAAGGAGGAGGAGCCAGGGCAGGGTGGTTACAGCTAGTGATGAGCGTACGGATAAAGCATTTTTGATGAATACGAACATGAAACGAGTGTAAAACTCATAAATATCTGTAATTGTGCTGAAGGAAAATCCTCATTGGGTAACTGACTGTCTTCACGCTCTGTGATTGGCCAGTCACATTGAGCGCCCGCCCCTTCCTACACACGAAACTCTGCAGCCCGGATGGGAGCTCAGTCTGCTCGGCCCAGGCATCCACGCGCACACACAGACAGTAACAGATCTCTCTGTGCTTGCTTCACTGTAGCCCACGCTTCTTCGGTACGCCCTACGTTTTCTTCAGCTCGCCTCTTTTTCAGTTCAATATTTAAAGTTACTTTTTTTGTAACGTACGTGGTGCATTTGACAAGACAGAGCTGAAAACGGCTCGTGCTGCGTCGGTCACTGCCTCCGCTCCGGTCGGGTTTTTTAAAATTATTTTAACTCTCTCTCCCTCTCTCTCTCTCTCCCTCTCTATCGCTCTCTCTCACACACACCTTAGTCAACATTGTTTTGTTTAACTGTGTGTGGGGAAAAATGCCAACAACGTTAGGAAAAAATCAGTTTAATCAAATAAAAAAAAGTTGTGTCTGGTTCTCGTATTTCATATTTCCCAGTTCCTACTGCACGAGTTCAGATGCATTAATTCATGCACTTAAATATTAATGTTCTGATTTTACTGAAAAGCGTGTTCTGTAAGGCTTCCTTTACTATTGTGATCAAAAATATTTAATCCCAGTTCTGAGGTTGCTCTGTAAATAGTTTTCAAATAAACAATAGTCTATAAATAAACAACTTCTGACCAATCCATATCAATTTCAGATTTCAAATAATGTATTGATGTAAACCACACCCACTAATTTCCAAATAATAAATAAGAGGTGCATTCATTTGTGTTTCTCCTTTGATCTGCATTAGTGATATTTTCAGCACCAGAACAATGAAGCAAAGAAACAGATTCCCGAGTTTGTTAGTAATTTTATTTATTAGGTGCATCTGACCTGTTCTATTTTTCTCTAAAATGAGATCAAATCAGTCCTTCTATGCGTTGTCTCCTCTCTGCACTATAAAAGTTTACTTTATTATAATGTTCACCGTAATGCATCTTGATGTTCTTAACAAATGAATAAAATCAAAGATATTGGTCAATAATGCCAAATATGTAAATTTGTGTTTCAGTCATTTTTATACTGGCTTAAAAATACTTCATTAAGTCTACTAAGCAGGGGTGTAGAATGTTTTTAATGGGGCCAGCCCAGTAATGATCTTGGACCAAAATACAGGGGGCAGAAAGTCAAATAAAGGGGGGCAAAAGGAGATGTTTTTCCCAGATGCCAAGAAAAATTAAATGCCAAATCCCCCATGCAAAGTGTGTCACTGAGAGTTTAAAACAGAAATTATTCTTGTGCAAATATTGGTGTATTCACCTTTAATACTAGTTATTAAAATGCAGTAGTTGCTGGATTGGTGCAGTTCAAAGTGGAATAATGCATCAAATAAAACAATATTAACATAAAGGTGAGATGTGTCATAATTTTACACACCCCTTCATCACCACCACCACCACAGCTGGAAAAATTCCTAGGGGAAACACTGCAGTTACACTGGTAACTGTAATTTAAGGATTTGTTGTGCGGCTGTCATGATCTGCCCCTGCCCTTGATTAGTCCCTATTGGTTTCGCCTGCCCCTTGTTAACATGGCCATGTGTTCCTGATTTTCCCCAGTGTATTTTTACCTCCCGTCTCGTATGTCCTGTGTCAGATCATTGTGGTTTGTTTGTCATCGTTGTCTAGTGCTGTTCGTTCCCGATCTACCATTAAATCCTTTTTTCTTTATCCATGCCTGCCTTTTTGCCTCCTGGCCAGCTCCACCACAGTAGTTGGTCCCCCTCCAACTACTCCGCAACATGACAGCGGCGAGCCATGACCAAGCTGTCCTGCGATGTCTGCCGTGCCAGCCTGGTGATGGATGCTGCATCTGCCTGTGATGACCAGAGCTACCATTTTCTGACTCTGAAGAACAACATGGGTCTTGTGGTCCCATCTAAAGGTGCTGTGAGGGTCATCAGAGCAGCAGAGTGGGCAATTCGCCAGGCAACAGTGGGCAGACGATCACAGCCCATCAAACCACTGGAGGTCATCTACATTGTGCGCAAGAGGATGTGTTTTTGCTTGGGGAGGACATCAGTGAGACACAGCACAGAATTGAGTCTCACTCCCATACACTGTTGACATTTATTGTCTCCCTGTTCTTTAAGCTGAGGATGCACCACATTACAAGATTAGCAACTCTTAGCTTTCAGTGTGACAGCTTGAGACAGAAGCTCACAAAAGCTGTCCTTTTCAAAGGTCAGTAGGAAATCACAATGTGCTTTAGCATCTGTCAGTGGATCTGTTATTCTTATAATCAAAAACATGTATAATCTAATAAACAAGTTTTTCATAACTGTCGGTCTGTCATTCATTTACTCTTTAATTTTTGAAGTGTTTATCTAGCCCTTTAACTCACAATTATCCCAGTTTTCTCTTCTCAAACTTTCATTTTAAATAGGTTGCAGGCTGAAAGTGTAAATAAATATCAATTATTATAATAACTTGCCAAAGCCAGTATATATTAGTTTCACATTACTTGCAAATATTAAAGTCAACGTAAATAAAATATATTCTGTGCATCTTCATTTGTCTTTTTGTAAATATTTTCTCAGTCGTTGAGGTTCTAGAGTTGTTTTGCTTTTTGATTTTTTTGGACTGCGTGTTTTAACTTGAAATTTTGTTTGTTGCGGCTTTGCATTTTTATTTATTTATTTTTTTGTTTTGTTTTGGTTTTACTATTTTCTGTAAATTAATTCAGGTATTTGAGTTTTTATTTATAAGTTGATATGGTAAGTTATAAGGTATCTTAAAACTTATATTTATAAGACCTCAGTTTACAAACTACAGCTAGTTAATCAGAATCACATCTTGTTGACATTAAAACAGTAAGTCTATGGAAAATTGGCAGGATAGGGGATAACGGCTGGAAAGTGGAATGAAATAAGGGGAGTTTCCTGCTAAAACTTATGTATTTCATAGCCACGTCTCTACGGTTTCTAAAAAACAAACCGTATAAAAATCGGTTGAAATTTGAGAAAGTTATGAGTTGTTTAAATAGCGCATGCGCCACTTAACACCAGTGTTAGAGGGGGGCAGCTGTCCGAAGTAAGATGGCCGCCGCGTAGGACGTCAGGGTCCATTGACGAACAGCGCCGGTGAGGAAGATGAATGTACCCATAATTTTACTCCTCATTGTGCCACCTTGTGGAATAATCGAGTAATTGTTTCAAACAGAAAGTCTTTGTTTAACCAGCAGTGGTTTGATCAAGGAATTATCTTTGTACACGATATTATGGATAAAGATGGTGAAATATTACAGCTACAGAATTTTAAATACAAATTTAATAACATTCAATGTTCTCTCCAGGAATATGAGAAAGTATGAAAGGCTATTCCAGTGACTTTGATACAAATGATAAAAAACACAATCCTCTTCTCTAATGTTCAAACAAAACTTCCTAATTTATTAATAGGAGAATTGAACATCACAGAAAGAAAATGTGAAAATAAATTTTTAAATGGAGCCTTTAAAAAATATCATGATTATGATATATGGATATGACAACGGACAATTGATGTGGACATAATAATTAACAAATGTGAACAGTTACGGGACTGAAAGAATTGATGAGGGACTGCACAAATATAAATTGATATTTAAGTTTAAAAAGGGGGCAGAAATAATAAGATTGTTCTTCTATCTGCTCCCTTTCATTCAAATATACATTGTGTTTTTATGAATATTGTTTAGTATCTGTTGTTATTTTTTTATTGAATGAAATAAAGATAATAATAATAATAATAATAATAATAATAATATAAAGATTAAACTAAAAATATTAGGAAACCCAATAATTGAAGGAAAACAATTAAAATTTCTAAAATGGCCTATGATGCCAAAAGTAAAAGAAACGCAATTTAAAATTCTTAACAACTACTATCCATCAGCAGAGACACTGAGGAAGAGATTTGGTTTTGAAGTTGACCCTTGTGAATTCTGTAAGGGAAGCCCTGAAGAAATAGAACACTTATTTTTCAGCTGTCCTGTCAGTAAGAAGTTTTAGGAAGAAGTCCATTGTTGTTTAAGAAATAAAATAATAGAACTTGATCGTTTTACAAATGAAGATATTCTTAATTACAATTCTAAATTAAATGGGAATAATTCATTGTTAATATTATTATTATGGGTAAATACCACATCCACAAAAGCAAATGGGGAAAAAACAACTGCCAAACATGAACTGTTTCAAAAATGAATTCCGTATGTTCTTATTCACTTTGATTCGTACAAAAAATTCCAATGTAACTGCAAAAGCCATTTGTCATTGTTGAGCGTTGCAGCATCAATCACATTGAACTCGAGGAAAGAAAGATGGGACCAAAAGTGTTTTCTCTGCGGTGATTTCACCTCACTGACGCAGCATCGAAACGCCTCCCCGCTTTGCGGTCAGGAGATCCCTTTGATCTGCTCAAAAGTAACTGATGAGGTGAAAAAGTAAGAATCCAGGCAGGAGTTCGTCTGGAGAGTTTAGAGGAGATGCAGGAAGATGAGAGACAGACAGGACAGGAAAATAGTTAAATAAAAACAAGAAAACAAAACAAAGTGTTGAAAAGCAAAATGTAGGTAGATTTATCTCCACTACACGTTTTTACCTGTATAAAACAATAAGTTATACACATGCAATATTTATACATCTGATACAGTACAGATCACCTTCAAAACTCTGTCACACACCCAGGGCCGTTTCAAGACATTTTGGGGGCCAAGGCAAAATGACCCCACCCACCCCCACCCCCCCATAACTGAGCTCCCCAGAAGCCTCTGTGTAGTCCATACCCTTTCCAGTATTGTTAGTTATACAGTTTTTGTTAAAACCCTTCAGACATCACTGACATGTTCTAATGTTATCAGATGAAAAACTAACTTATCAGACATGCTGTCTCATCTGCTTCTTTTCTAAATTTGTAAAAAGTAACAAAACCATTTGAAAGCCACTATTTGTGGATTCTCTGAAAGTTTCCATGGAGTGTGTGACAACTTATTTTTTCACTGATCCTATCGTCTAATCTCACAGCTGAAACAAGCATCCTTAATAATCTGTGCACAGGAAGCTTACCGATGCTGTAGTAAAACAAAAGGTATAATAACTTCTTATTAATAAAACCTTGTTGCAGCACTAAAGCAGAAAAATTTGATTTTGCAGTATATATGCTAAATATTTACATATGAATTGTTTTGGAGCCCTTTTAATGGCAGAATCTGATATTAATTTTAGTTCTTACAAAAAATGGGTCCCAACGTGGTTTGTGTGGCGTTGCCATAGTGTGACGTCATAGGCACAGATCCCCTGTCCTCTTTTTTGGAAATATGGTCACCCTATATTAAACAAACTGTCCACCCGGGCTTTTGCGCTGCACAGAGACGCTTCGCTGCCTATGACTTTGAACGTCAGTTGAGAGTCAGTCTCACGCAGACTGACCAATGAAGAGAGGGCCTCAAGTTAAGACCCTCTCCTCATTGGTAAGTCCACACGAGGTGGGTCAAAGGTTACTCTGAGCGGGTTACGTGATGTCAGGCATTCAAGTATTGAGTATATTTACTGCATATTACAGTAAAATATTCTGTATGTGACCATATTATGGTGATCCTTGGGTCGTAATGATGGGGCCCTTGAATATTGTTGCCCAGGGTACAACAAAGTGTTAATCTGGCCCTGGTTGCATTAGGAACCAAACTTATGAATCGGGTTGTGAGATGGAGCCTGCTGTTGACTTTTGTATGCAGCGTGACAGCAGCTCTGCTGCGTGTTTGGAAAATAGCTTTTTGAAGAACCATTAGGAATGGGGGGGGTAACTGCCATCCCGTGTTTGAGGTTGCCTCATTTACCACATGGAACTGACTCATGCTTATTCTGCTCTGTGGCCAAGCAAAGCAAACCTCAGTTCCCTGTTTTTTTGTCCCTTTTTCCTCCCCTCTAGGTAATGATGTACGACCAACACAGAATAAGTTCCACTCTATAGCCAACGGGATCTCGAGGACTTGATTACAGTCGCTTTTAGCCTGATAGTTTGTCCGTGCGGCTGCTCCCACCATCCCTTCTAAGCTCGTCTGTAGTCGGCTGGCCTCTCTTCTGATAACTTCCCGTCCCTCTCTGTGGGTGAAGAAGACCTTGTCTGCTTTTCCCGTTTCCCACTTTTGGTTCCTGTTTTACTCTAAGCAGTGGTGCTTCCCTGGATTTGGATTATTCTCCATTAGGTAAGCCTATGACTAATGCATAGGACTTATGCACATTATAAGCAGCTAATTGTAATCCTCTCATTGTAGTAGATGGCTTCATTCATTGAAGACCGGTGTTTTAATAGTTTGGTTTTATTGAACATTATTTTCTATGTGATTCTGTGGTTTTTGTCAGGAATTAAAGTAAGTTTACCAAAATGATTCCAAACGGATATTTGATCTTTGAGGATGAAAGCTTCCTGGATTCCATCGTGGCCAAAATGAACGCTCTGAGAAAGAGTGGCCAGTTCTGTGATGTTAGGCTGCAGGTAAGTCGAACCAACCAACAAACAAGTTGATTGTGACAACTTTTGACTTTGGCGCCCTCTGTCCAGGTGTGTGGTCATGAGCTGATGGCTCACCGTGCTGTCCTGGCCTGCTGCAGCCCCTACCTGTTTGAGATCTTCAACAGCGATATCGAGACTCCTGGAATCTCTCATATCACCTTTGAGGACTTGAACGCAGAGGCTGCGGAAGTTTTGCTCAACTATGCCTACACTGCCCAGTTAGCATCCAGTTTATCCATTGACTTGATTTAATTTCTGTGTGATGGTGAGATTAAAAAAATCAACTCTTTGTTGTTTTAAAACAGACTGAAAGCTGAAAAGGAGCTAGTCAAGGACGTTTACTCTGCGGCCAGAAGGTTCAAGATGGAACGAGTTAAACAGGCATGTATTTCTTCATCTGCTCTTCCTCAAAAAGATCTTCTACTCCGAGTCCTCATTAGTCCTAGTTGCCCATGAAATGACTCCATTTTAACATCTTCAACTCAGATTTGTGGCGACTACCTGCTGTCGAAAATGGATTCCCAGAATGCAATTTCCTTTCGGAACTTTGCCAGCTCCATGGGAGACCCCAGACGTTTGGCCAAGGTGGACGCCTACATCCAGGACCATCTGCTGGATGTGTCTGAACAGGAGGACTTCCTTAAACTTCCCAGATTAAAGGTAACATCAGCTTGTTGCTGTTCTACTTTTTGTTGGGAGTTAGCCACTGAGAGCGACTAGATCATTAGTGAAACTGGCATGTTTCTGTTTACAGTTAGAGGTGATGCTTGAAGACCACCTGACCCTTCCCAGCAACGGCAAGCTCTACTCGAAAGTGCGGAACTGGGTGCAGCGTAGCCTTTGGGAGAATGGAGACCAACTGGAGCAACTGATGGAAGAGGTCAGTATCAAAGCCCCTTCTCTCCTCTCAGACCGAATCTTCAGTCATACTCTGCCCTTCCCTTTCCTCTGATTCCTCCTGTTTGTGACCTGAAGGAGTGGGTAAAAGGACTGAAGTGGCATGCTAACGTCATGCTTCTTTGTCAGGATTGTTCTTTTGTTTTCCTCTGATTTGAGGTTTTTGCAGTAAGAAACTCTGTATCCCTGATCCATACTTCAAATTAGAGGTGAGCCAAAAGAGCTGCTCATTGCTCTTGTTTTTCTTTTGAGTTTGTTTCTAGTGCTTTTTATTTTTTTAGTATGTGGCGGGTTCACACACAAACCCGTGTTAACGTTACAGGGCTTGTCTCATCTGAAACAAAACTCAAAAGGTTCTGAAAGGTCTGGTCCTTGATTTTTGTTTTCTCA